TACGAAAAATTAAATTTATTGTCGTGAACAAAATACTAGTTAAGAGTAATCAGCATGACTAAACTATTATTTAATTAAAATACAACCTTCGTAAACGTGAGTTTCGTTTATAAAATTTAACTGGACTGGATAGGATGAAAGTAGAGAAATCGTGGCTCCCTTTTTCCATTTTGCAGAACCATATCAAAACACAAATTCGGAAAATTATTGTGTAAAAGTTGTTAAGTTATCTTTAGATTAATGTATATATATATATATATATATATATATATATATATATATATATATATTATTTTTCTAAGGGTTATTAAATAATTAAATTTTATAAATTGTGATCTTCAAAAACATTTTGTATTGCTCCGCTCAAAATCTAAAAAAGATATGAAATACCTACTAATGTAATCAATTCAATACGTTTTTGTCGATTAAATATTAAATTTATATTTAAATATTGAATATTATTATGCAATGATTTCCAAAAATAACTTGTATACATTTGACAATCTATTCAAAATAATATTGTATCAAGTTTTTCAAAAGAATTAAAATCAATATGATGTCTGTACTAAAATTGTATATATTTAATTAAATATTTGTTTGCATATTTTTCATAATCTTATATGAGCCCTTTGATCGATTAAGACCAAATAGTATATAAGTAGTTATATTATCAACTAAACCAGTAAAAACATTTAGAGGTTGCTTTATTACATATGATCTTACTTGTTATGTCTCATGACACAGACATCACCTCTTATCGTTGTATGACTTTAGATTGACAAGAATATAATTTCAACATCGAGATGTGCATTTACTACATCTAGTTAATAAACTATATTATATGATATTAAAATTTTTAATTTAATATAACTAGCTAGACAAAAAATTATCTAGTAAAATTTAGAATATTATGTTATTTGACTAGGCATGTAAATTGTATTATAAAGCTTACCCTTACTGTCTGTTCTTGGATTCCTACGCCCCCCCACCAAAAAAAAAAAAAAAAAATGATGATGATAGATTAAAGTTCTTAAATTTAAAAATTTTTTAGAAAAATAATGTTTTAAATGTTTTAACAGATTTTCAAAGTTCAGGATTAATTATATGGATAAAATCTGTACAACACGATTTTGAACACGTAAGTACAAGAACTGTTAAGATGTTATTTTTGATTTGTTACATTATCATATTTTTTTTAAGCCCCCCCCCCCCCAAACGATGGGTGATTTTTATTATCATTTTTATTTCATACAACCCTTTTACATATTTTGACATTCAAAACGATAATACTATATCATATTATTTATATATATATATATATATTATATCTATGTATAGTTACGTTTTTATTGAATTGATTTTCATGATTTTTGAGTATATTTTTCCCTTTTTATTTTTATTTTAATTTATTTTTTGTTTATAGCTTCCACTTGATAAAGATATAATATGGTTTGGCACAGGAATTTTTCAACTTAAAAGTGAAAAGACCCATTAGAGTATTATAATATACGTGCACATTGAAGACAAAAGCTTTTGGATATTGCGTTGTTTACCGTTTATGTACGTCATTGAAACAATACATGCACCCACATGACTATAAAATATAATGTAGTAGGTAGGCACATAATATAATATTAAATAATGGCATTACAGGTGGAACGCTCCGGTTGCCATTAGCGCTGTAGTTAAACGAAGCGAAAAGAATCCCGGCCGGATAAAAATAATGATAAAAAAAAATACAAGCGACGAGTGTATGTGATTCGGTATGGTATACATAACTATATATATATATATATATATATATATATATATATATAAGTATGCATATATATTGTATATACGCCATGACGCCGAGTGGTGTGCAAATGTGATTTATAATATCGACTGAATGTATACGTATACGATACATAGATATAGGTATAGATATAATATTCGGGCGTAATACGCATTTTACCTACCTATATTTATACGAAAAATATCATATTATGATTGTTCAAGCACAGACGCCTGTACGCGTTCAGCATAGAATACAATATACATGTACGCCATGAATGCAGAAAACTTAATATTATCAACTATATTATAAACATATATGTAAATAATTTATTGTTGTATATTAATCATTATAATATGTATAAGCAAATAAATAAATATATATATATATACGGCAAAATCCGTCTACTGCGTAAAGATATCACACAAAAAAATACCATACAATGACACCTACGATACGGATTTTATAATATGTTATTCTGATATTATGTATAGACTTATGAATCCAACATAAATATCCAATGAGTCTCGCGCCGTGTCAAGAGTGTAGTTGATGATAACTGGCACCGATCAGATTAATATTTATAGTAATTATATATTACAATAGATATATATTTTTTTTGGTCGTTTAACATAATTTTTACCTCGAAAATGTTATATAATTTGGATAAATCTAGAAGGTTTAACTGCTATTTAAATATGTTATTGCCAAGTATGTATGTATAATAGAGTACTCTGAGTGCTATTCTACAAACTATAAATATTTTTATTATGCACATTAAATTTAATTATTAATTATTTTTTATTTAGCTGTATAACTGAAATACAGCTAATTGAAATTTTTTAGTTAATTGTTTACACCTTATAATATGTATATTTATAATAAATGTTACGGAGCATACGCATTTAAGCTAAACCGGTATCATAAGTACATGACATAATCGAATTTTTCCCCCATTCAAATGGTCTTCATATTTATGATTTATTATATCAGTTTCCGGTTTTCCCGGTTGCTCTAGTTGTTTTTTTTTTTTTTTTTTGCTAAACGCTGAGTTTTTTAGGTTATAAATATTTATAATTAAAAGTATATAATATATTACTTAAATCTTCTGAAAGAAAAATCAATTAATATTATATCAATAGACCCAAAAAATGTAGCAATTAAATAGTCGATACCGACGACGTAATAACTATATTAATAGGTTATTATAGATCTATGGTAACTAGAAAATAGATGTTGTTTCATTCGCAAATTTTTTTTTAATGTTCGAATTTGTTGCTAGTGGATTTTAAATTCGTTTCATGCAAGTACAAATTAAAATCAAAAAAAGTTCATCATAATGTTTTGAGATTGTCGGCATATTTTCAATTATACTTCAATTTTGTTAATACTTTGTGTCTATAGAATTGATTTTAACAAAATTAAGAAAAATTGGAAATAAGGTTAAAAATTGTCATAATTTTACGTCCATTAGACTTAAAATTTAATAACAACTATAATTATTATTTAATATTTTATCAAATCAAGATAAAATTTAAATTTAATTATATATTGTACAAATCATGTTACAGTCTTTCTTCATTAACTTCGTGAATTTAAGGCAATCGTATTGCTTTGATATTTTGTAAAAGTAAAAAATATGCTAACAATAAAGTTTGTTATCAGGTTATCACCAATTGTATAAAATAGTATGTTTTAAAATTCGGTAAGAATGTTTTTTGTGCAGAAAACCAGTTATTTTCTTTAAATTATGGGAAAATAAATCAATAAAATCAATAAAGAAATAAATGATATATAAACTGGTGAGAGAAAATTTTTCAATTAGTTAACTAGAAATTTCAACAATAGTGATTTAATTTATTTGTAATACACATTAATATTAAGTTTGTCTAAATATAAAAATGTATTGGTTTTAAGTCAGAGAATCTTTCAATTTGAAAATAAAAAGTTTTATTGACCAATTAAATAATGAGTTGATAGATGTTTATGATGGCTTTAATATAATAATAATTTAATTTAAAAATGAAAATAATATATGTATAATGATAATTAAATATATTGTCTACAGCATATTGTTTTGTAAAATACAAATATAAAGATATTTTTAACGAAACTTTGTTATTTCTTAATGAACATTTTAAGTTTAGTTATTTTTTTATATGATATTGCAATCAATTATACTATTCATTTACTACAACAACATTCATACCCTATTGATAACTCTTTTTCTAATATTTACTTGTTAAAAAATTAGATTGAATGATATTTCAAAGTTAAAAGTTTTAAAATTAGTGAAATGACGTTGTAACTTTTGATGAAAAATACAATATTGTTGTCATTTCAATCATATCAACGAATGTCCCGGAGCAGTTTTATGGTTTCGATGGTCTCTCAAATAAATTAATGTATAATATCGATCTGTCAAACACGCATGCAATGCGAATCCAAGCACGTTCGTTTATCTATCAATCACGAAATGCCTACCATTGTTGCATCACAGATATATATTATAATTATTGCTATACGCAACAATGTGAGACCGAATTTCACGCAAAACTCTGCTCGATCACAAGCCATTATAATAGTATTAGGGTGTGAGCAGGCGACTTTATGCACGCAAATACGTATAGATCGGAAACCATTACGCTGCTTTATAGTACCCGATTCGAATAAATTGGACGGCGGAGCGATTTAACTCGAATATCATAACATATTATGTTATTAACATATTATACAGTCCTTTGTGTTATAATTAGTTGGTATTATATATATATATATATATATATATATATATATATGTATTAGATTATAACTTATATTCATGTATAATATATATTTTATATATACGTATATATTTATTAATAAAAAAAAAACTGTTACACTAATTTCCTTTGTACCATACTATTCAAAATTCACTCGATTTATTCGATAACCAGTATTTATTTTCACTGCTATACACAAACTATTAAAAAATATTAAACAAAAAATAATACCCATTTTCATTCATTAAATATATTATCTTTGTAGAGGACTACAGTTTATTTTACTGCTGTGGCTTAAATATTAAAACTACTATCTGTTTTCTTCCACTATTATTCAGTGTTTTTTTTTAGGAGGTCATCAGAATCAGGTTTTACATTTTTTCTTCCAAAACACAATGCAATAGTTTTAATAAAAACATAAAAGCCCTATGATAATATAATAGTAATTGGTTTTATGAACTCACAATATTGACTTTTTCAAATATATCCACATTCTTGGCCTACAGTTTAATGGAAAACTATAAGTTGGCGAATCCACCTAAAAAAAATCAAATCAAAATGTTTATCACAAATTAAAATTACTAAAATACTAGGAAAAACACTAAAAGCTTCATTAAAATATAACAATAACTCATATTTTATTTAACTTTCTGGATAGTAATATTATAATGTAATTCAACAATTACAAATATATTAAAAATTATTAATTCTTTCCATAACCAATGTATATATTAAGCAACACTATTGATTATATTTTTTTACAATGAAAAACATTTAAACTAAGACGACAAAATGCCATACTAGACAACTTAACCACAAAACATGAAAATTATTAGTGAGTATATGGTTTTCAAACATTTAACACAAAAATTAAGCAAAATACAATGTATTTTTTCCTCTTAGCTTTGATCTTCAAACATTAATATTCAACTTACTGATCTCTTTAAACACAAAACAGATAGTATAGCTATCTATTAAAATTTTTTTCTGGGGAATATTTCTTTATTTGTATCTACTTAGTAGTACACGTTTATATAATAAATACATTGATGCGTCTACAAATTACTATAGAGTATAGGTTTCGTGGTAATCATAGGTCAGGGAAACCATAAATATTTACTTTCACCCAGCACTTTAATATTTCTAAAGTTAGAAATAAATACGCTTTTTACAAAGCTCTAAAAATTGTTTCATATTTAGACATTTAGTTCAAAGTTCCCTTAAGCATTCTTGAATTTACGAGTACAGTAAAATCAATCACAAATCCAAAATACGCAAGAAACAAAGAAAACGTGGCAAAAAAAAAAATTAAAATTAAGTATTACTTATAAACTAACAAAAAAATATAATACATTTCCGTTAAAAAATACAATTTTCCCATAATATTAAAAATTAGGTTAAAAAATAAATACCCAAGCCAGAATAATACCACTTCTTCTTCATCAACAAAGAATGGGCCCATGTATATGAATATGTGACACATGCAAGGAAAGTGTTACAATCAAAAAAATTGTGATCAAATCTTTAAAATACATCGATGCATCAACATGAAGAATCGTAATTAACTCAACTTTACTCCAATACACACTTAACAAAGCAAAACTGAATTAATATAATTATTTTTCCATAATATAATAAACTTATGTCAAAAACTGTAAATCATTGTAAATAATGTCAATACGTTTTATCTTAAATCTGTAGCATATCCGTAATAAGCTAATAACCATCACTACTAAAACCTTAACAGATAATTAAAAATATATCATATCTATTTTATAAAAAAAGACTACATGACATGTAAGTCTTATACGTCATAAATGTATATAAAAACATTAAGCATATTGTTAGGTGGCTCGATAACAGTATAATATATTATAATATACCACGGGACTATATCTTCAGTGACTGACAAATGCCAACAACGTATTATAGTTGTTTTCTTTGTGATATTATTTTATCGTGGTTATTAATATTGAAAACGATTAAACGTTCACTGAGAACATTCGAGAGGCTCTGCTGTGCAACGACGAGGAAAATAGATCATTCCCTGGAGATGTCAACGATACGGTCTTAGATCTGATAATAATCTGCCATGTTATCGGTAGAATTCGAGATTATAAATTAAGCTGGTAATCGATTTCGCTTCCGTTGGCCGTACTGCATCATTAATATATACACGCGTAATCAGGAAATTTGATTCTCTCAAACTATTAAACGTTCCGTGTTGTTTGCAACGAACAAACATAGACCTAGGCTGTTAAAAAAAAAAAAAAAACTTCAAATACAATGAAATATTGTCGAAATAAATGGACTTTAGAAATGGGTTTCGCTCGAGATCCAGATTATCGTTTATTAAATATGAATACAATATACATGTATATAATATATATAAATATATATATATATGTATACATAAATATAATGCAATTTATATTTTATATTGAATGAGGATAAATCCCTACAGGACAACAAAGCATTTACTAGTTTAGTTCGTTTATAATATTATAATTATACAAATACAGATCGAAAAAAAAACGAACTATTATGTCACTGCAATGTATATATATATATATTTATATAGTGTTCGTTTAAACCTCACTCGCGTTAAAATAAATCGAAAAGCTATTAGAAAATGGGTGTGAGTTGAAATCGATAAAGCGCGCGTTTGAGTATATAATTTTATGATATTAGACGCGCGTGCAATGGCCGTATTATACGATTGCGAAGTGGTAAACGAGATAAAAAACTAAATTAACATTGGTGCATCACAGAAATAAAAAAAAATTGTAGGTATACGAGTATACGACTACGTGGTATTTTGCCCGCATAAATACAATTGAAGCAGAATAATATCCGTAGAAATAGCTTTGACTATGCTACACACCAACGACACGTTTTTTTTTTTTTTTTTATAAGCTGCGTGTTCCCTATAGTTTGTTTGCAAAACTTTTAGACCGTAATGTTGATCTGCATAATGATTAAAAATCGGTTATTTAGTGGTTTTAGTATCAAATTGAGTTTTGTACGTCTGTACAATATTAATTTGTTTAAAATGTCAGAGAAAAATTTCGTTTTACGCATATTATTTAATAATTTATAATATTATGTTACACCACATTATTGTTTATTAGTCGATCGACGCATTTATACTATTTAAATGACTAAAACCAAATCGTTTGAATAATTTAACTACATAGATTTGATCTCACAAAAACTATTATGTCTCATCATTGCAATGTGTTTTATGTAATAATATTATACATGCATTATCATTGGCAATAAATATTCATCTCGCCACACCAAACAACTAAAATGCATTAAAATTTCTATAAAGAAATATAAAATAATAATTTATTAACTATTTACATTTTTTAACCCATATTTTTTTATTTGCTGTGATATTAATGACTATAATACTGCTGAAGATGTATATTTAATAATAAAAAATAAAAAAAATTGCCGTTTCGTAAATTCATATTTTATATTTTACTAAGTAACGTTGTTTATAAAGTGTAGAAACTTGCAATATTAACGCAATAGCTGTAAGTTTTGCTTCACATCACTTGCTTGTACGCCATAATACTAACAGAGTGCACATTTTAGTATTATACCTAAATAATATAGCAGGTCGATGCTCGACATTTTCAATCGTAATAATCACATATTCATACTACAATATATCAACTTGCTGTGTTACGAAATATTGTTAAATAATATAATTATACCTAAATTATTGGTATTGAATTTATAATTGTTATTCAGGTTATACATTTATTTATTATATTATAGTCGATTATATTTATTTCTATTCTGTTATTGTTTTTCATAAGTTCAATATAATTATTATATCGTACAATTATAATTTTTTGTTTATTGACTAGTATTTAAGTTGAAAAAATTATGCATATTATTGCTACTTTTTTAAATGTATTTATTCGTTTATTATTAAATAAATATAACGTTGTAGCAACGAATATATGCACTATGTTATTTAATTTTGACCCAAAGCACATACATTATTCCTGTGTGTGCATAATGATATGTATAGTGTTATTATATTTACTGAGCATCAAAAACAGTGCACGCGCCTGGAGGTTTAATAACGTTTTTCGTTGAAACGGGATGCATTCTTCGGAAGCAAACTTCGCGTTAGTACCCGTTTCTCTCTGCTCTGCACAACGCAATGAACATTGGAAGACACGTCAATTGTTTCAACGGTTCCACACTACCCTTGTTGAAAACACAAAGTGCTGATACTCAAGCACGGTGCCGCCGGGCATAACTAATAACTACTATTGACGTCTAAATATAAGGTATATTTAGTAATATGTACTTAAACCCGCACAAGCGAATAAATTTAGTGAACCACTTTTGCCGCGGTTCGATATATGATAATATTCCGTTTTACTTAACGTGTATATAAAATGAACATATATGTATAGTTGTTAATAATTTATTATATGACGTTATATATGTAGTTTTAACTTAAACGTTAGGTAGGTATCCATTTCCCATTTATTTTTATGAGAAAAAAAAATAATATATTTTGTAAAGATGGCAGGCAATTATTATTATACTCGTACACCATAGATTACGTAGTAAGATTGCAATCGATTTAACCTTTCTGTAGATTTCCAGGTTAAATTTTGATACTTTGTTTTACTTACTTGTATATTATAGACGCTGCTGCTATTACAACTACTAAAATAATAATAATAATAATAATATTTATTACAGAAGTTATTCCGTTTAACATAAATTGTTTTAAATTAATTAAAATTAAGTGAATACGTATAAAGTTAAACTCGAATAACAAATCAGAGTTATTAAACAAGTAATTATGAGATATTTAGGTGGGTTATATTAAATAAGTATATTTTATACAAGAACTCAAAATATTATGCTATTTGCCATGTTTATAGTGACTTTTATTTTGGTAAAATTTTTATATTGCTTTATTATAAAAATATATTTTCGAGGTAATCTAGTAAATAATAATAACTAATCGAAAAAATAAAATATGAATATTATTACATTTGAAAATATAGTGTAATAATAAATCAATTTTTGTGAAGAATAATTCTATAATATATCTATCGTAACAATGATTGATACGCATAATATTGTATAGTATGTCAGTATTATTAATATATATGATATAGCATAATATATTATAATATGCAATAATATTCATCTGTTGAGTTAAAAAGTCACTCAGTTTTTTTCCCTAAGTTAGCGTTTTTAGACATTCTACGTGATGTCGTTGCAGTAGATAAATATAGGTACAGTATATTACATTTATATGCAATGTAACAAATAGACGAATGCAACGCTAGTCCATTTTTTCAATAGGGACTTTTCGAGAGTAAAAATTACAATTATGTACCTACTTGCAAAAGGTTACTATATTGCATATAATATCTTATACGTGTTTCATTGGTTATAATTATTTACATAGTTAAACACATATCTGTAATAAATACTATTTTGTTGTTATTTTACAATATTTCATGGTTATGGTACCGACTTAAGTTATTC